AGCAGCCGCGGCGATGCCGGGGGGTGGCGAGGCACGAGGGGCTGCAGTCTGCAGCTGGGACCGCAGCAGCGTGCCAGCTCGCACCGCGCTGCGGGGCTCCGAAATAAACCCCTACTGAGAGCTGTCTGCTTTTTCTAGCAGGAAAATTACAGCCCTTCTGTATCTCAGCTTTTTTTCGAGTGGGAGAATTACAGCCGAGACAGATGAAATTTCTCTCTTGTATCACAGGCTCTGACTGCTTGCCAAAGTAAGGAGCAAGGACACAAACCAGCCCATTAATACTTCCCAAACTCAAAAGTTTATCCCAAAACCTGCAAACATTTTCTAAATGCGATGAAGCGTTCTTGGCAGTTGAGCTGATGGAGTCAGAGACAGAAGCGACTAACGCGTCACAGCGAGCACCGGGGCTGGTTAGAATCAGCATGCAGAATTCCAACCTGCAAAGCCACCAGCGTGGCACGAGTTACCGGGTTTCTGTGCCAAAATTGTCACAAATGGCTCCAGCTCTACGCAGACTGTGTCCCGTCATCCTCCCCAGCGCCTCCAGAAGCACCCAGAAACACGTATTTCAGAGGAAGCATGGGAAACCTCCTGAGCACTTCCCTATCAGTCCTAACAGTTTGAGTTTGGGTTTAGTTTTGTAGGTTTTTGTTAGATTTGAAAACATCCTAGACCTTTCCCACCCTTACATTAACTCTAAACACATTTATCTGTGGCCAGTTCCCATTAAATTAACACCTTCTAGTCCTTCTGTAACACTCAGGGAAAAAACAAACCCCAAACATCTCCGTCACGGAATCCTGCTGTGCACTTTGAGATGACACAGAGCACAAAGTCACGCTCTGTAATTCCGTGAGCAATGCCAAGAGCACTCCATCTCACCTTCACTGCCTTGTCCTTCCCCACAGCCAGACCTGCTACCAGCTTTGCAAAGCGACACTAAAGACAAAACATAACAAGTTCAAATGCCAGCACCCAAAGTCTTGCACTTGCAGCTCCTTCCTGCAATAACCAACCTGTTTTCCTGGAGTGAAAGAGTTGCACACGTCTGCACATGAGGCTACAGCCTCTAGCTGGAATCCACAGGGAACGAAACACCTTCTGGGGGAAAAAACCTTACCACAGAGTAGCACGCTTGCCATTAGTCTGCAGGAAACAGTAATCCACGTTGAGCACCAGTTAGAATTCAGAACTACATGTTTTAGCACAGCACAACTTGAAATTCCAGTTGCTGCTCCTCTCTAAAAACCACAGAAACGCAGAATATGGTTAAACCAACCGTACGTGCAAGTGGAAGCGAATGTGCAAGTCAGTGACTCGTAAGAAGGGACAGACAGACACACAGCCAGATGACCGGTCTGCTGCTCCGCAGGAGGGTTCGCTGCTGGCAGCCCAGCGTGGCCGGTGCAGGAGCAGCACGCGCTGTTCTCGCCGCCACCCGTGCAGTGACCGGCAACGCAGCGCCCATAGCACGGCACAGCCGCCCACCTGTATGCCTGAAAAAGGGGTTTTTAGCAGAACTTGTGATTTTTCTCCAGGCAAGACACGGATACAATCCCAGAACCGTGCAGCCGGCAAGGGAGTTCCGGGGGTCCCTAGTCCAAACCTTGCGCAGCGCGGGCCCGTTGAAGCAGGGTCTCATCCAGTCGGCATCTGCAGTACCCCTGGCGACGCAGATCCCGCAGCTCCTTCAGGAAAGCAGGTGCTGGACCATCCTCAAGGCAAAAAGCACGTTTTGCTACCAATTCAGAAATGTTTTGTCTTCCAGCTTGTCCCCGTCGCCTCTTCTCCTTCCTCTTCGCACTTCCGAGCTGCGTCCGGCTCCGTCTCCTTTGCCACCTCCCACTGCCCGCTCGCAGGCAGCGACCGACCTCCCAGCTCCCGCTGCACGGCCGTCTCCTTCGGGGCTGCAGGAAAACCCCGTTCTCCCAGCCGGTCCCGGGCGCCGGACTCTGCCACCGGTGGGCTGGCGGCCAGAAGCCAAGCCCAGCCGCTACCGCCGCCATTCCGTCCTGGTCCTGTCCAACGGGCCGCCTGCGGCCTGAAAATACCTACGGCACAACTGAACTCATATAAAATGTAATAAGAAAATAAAATTTCTGTGATTTTCTTTTAAGCTTCTGAAGCACATGTGAGAGAATATCATCATGCACTCCCCCAGGGGAAATACATCCACTAAAAGACAATTTGAAGTGCGCTATCGGGACTGAAAATTAGGAACATTGAGTTTCAAACAACACTTCTCAAAAAACACCCCTGCCCTATCTACACACCAAATCTTGATAAACTCCGACTCCCTCTTCTGCTCACGGGTCAGGGGGGTGACAGGAAACAAACTAAATGAAAAAATAAAACAAAAGACTACAGATTCTTCCCACCACAACAAAGGCATCTGACTGTTGGCTTGTTACTGTTGTCCACATCTGCCTGGCACTGCACCTGCTTTTCTCTTTCCCAGGGCTGAATAGTTTTCTCTAATCACAAAAAAATCCCAGTTATTTTAAAAATCACTTCCTATCACCAGCGATTAATGAGCACTAACTTTAACTGTTGAAGCGTGAATCATCCTGGCTCCGCACTGTGACAGCCACCTGAGGGCCAGGAATACGAGCAATGCTTGGCCCTCTGTCCTGATCCCTGCTTCTCCAGGAAGACACTCGACCTTTCACGAGACCAGACTTGCACAGACTGCTGTGCAAAGGGACACCAGCGTGCAGGGCTTCACGTCTGTCTGCTGACTGAAGCTGTATGCAGAGCAAGGTGTGAATCTGAATGCCCTCACCGGCAGGGCCTACCTGTAACTACGCTGATGTTGACAGGAAAAAACACCGTACGCAGGTCCCTTCAGGCACAACATACTTCTACTTTACTTTTAGGACTTAAATTAAAACGAGATTTGATACACAGTTGAAGTATCTGGTTTCTTATAGTCATTCATTCTTTGTCAAGGTGCTACTTGCCTCATTTCAGACGACACCACAAGCAGCTGCTACGCTATTTCATCGCGGAAGAGAGACATCAGTCAGAAACAGAGTGCTCTCACTCTGCAGGTGATCCCCAAGGCGACGCAAGAAACTTGTCCTCCCAACTCCAGATCTCAGGCACAAGAGACTGACAACGACCTCGCTCGCTCCCCAGTCACAGAAATCAGCTATCAGAGCTGTTCTGCAGACCATCACGTGACCCCCTGCGTATCGAACGGCTGTACCTGACTCCCGACCAGTCTGCACCAGTGTCTCCATTAAATACCCCATAACCACAGCATCAGTCCGTCCATCCAGCCTCTCCCCTCGCCCCCAGGCGTGTTGCTCGCTAGCCCACAGGTCAGGTCAGCTTCACTACAAGAAGGCAGCCTAGATGAGTCATATTTTTGTTTAATATTCATCTGCACAATTCCTTACTGTAATTCAGGAGACAAACCTGTATTATGGGCCTATTCTAACTGGAAAATGACCACCCCCGAAACAAAACTTCCCATTAAACATACACTTACACGCCTGTGCTCAAAAAATCATTCTTTATGGCCAGACAGTCAATGCTTTATTTGGAAAATAAATATAATTCCAGCTGCAATGCTGTACAGTAAATACGTACGTCTCAATAAAACAGCAACGTTTGCGGGACAGCTCAGACCACCTCATTTCTTAAAACCGTATTTGCCAGCCAAGGCAGACACGACATCCCTGTAGGGAGTATCCGAGTCAGACTTGGTCCTCGGTATGCCACACAGGCGGCGAAAGGCCGGAGAACGCAGCAGCAGGTTGTGCGAGAGTCCCACGAAGCTCGAGGACAGCCAGTACAACGCCATGGACTGCAACGAGATAACATGGAGTTAGATGCAGCAGAAGCACTCCGGTCTCAGGCAGCTCTCCACGAACTACAGCCACTGCTTACTCCCGGTTACCGAGAGAAACAACTCCCCCAAACCCACTCCTCTCATCAACAAGAATGGCTTCTATTTCAAATGTATTTTTTATTCTTTCTCAAACCTTCTGGGAAAGAAAAAGTCACTACGCTGAAGCCTGACAACAGTTCATAAATGAATTCATATTAAACTTGCTTAAATTTCTCTATTTCAGACTACACGTCGATGAGCCAAACACTAGATACTGTGGTTTTGTTAATCGCTGCAAAAATACCCAGCACACCTGGTAAAAACGAGAAGGGTTTTAAGAAGTCATGGAATACTTCCTAATCTAAAAACTATGCTGTTTTCCTCCTACAGTAAGCAAACACTTGGCAAACCTCTGTCTGTGTGTCCTTCATTATACAAAGGTTTCCCCTCGTTTTTGAGATCACAAAAAGGATGCTACCCTGCTCTGAACGCCCTTCCAAGCCCTAGTCTGCGAAAATGATGTTTAGAAACAGTAAGTTTGCAGATTCTTCCCTCTTTGACAAAAATATTCCATCTGTGTTAAGAATTTAAACGTATAGGTAGACAGAGCATCTTGTTTTCGGGCACACTGTATGAGAGAGTACGGTCTGCTCAACACAGCAGGCACCTGGGCCGCCCCTTCAGCACCAGGGACACCCCGCAGCCACAGCTCAGCGGACGCTCCGCCAAGGCTCTGCACTTACAGAGGGGACGGCTGCAGCAACAGGGATCATCACCACCGACACCACTCGAAAGAAATTCGTAGCAAGCTTCTGGAACCTGGAAACTTCCTTTTTTTGCAAAGAAAAGATCTGAAAAGGAGACACCCACAGTTACAAACAAGGTCCTTCTGACACAACCAACATGAGAAAACAGGCAACAGTGGGGTTTCCTCTGACCCAGCACTCTCGTTCACTTCTTTCTTCCATTTTGCATCCTCCATTTCCATCAACCTGCTGCTACAATATTTCACTGAACGTGTCTGATGTTTCGCACGTTCAGTCCTTTGCAGCAAACACTGTACCAGCCCGGCAGGGCACCAAACCATCACTCCAGGTAAGGTAACCTCACACGACCCAACCAAACACCTCACGCTGTTCCCAGAGCTCAGACCCTGACAGTGCTTCTACAGAGGCACGCCACAAAGCTCGCAGCTCTACCCCAAATAACGAGAGTGCTTAAGCAGAGACCGGTGATGCCACTGCTGCACATCTAGAGGTTCCGGCACCACAGCCTGCAGCACAGCCCTTGGAAAAACGCTGCCAACGGGAACGAGACCCAAACTGGTGGACAGGAAACTGAGCGAAGGCAGAACCAGACCTACAGTCACAGACTGACTTTTTTTCTCTAAGACCGTCTCAGTCCACGTAACACAGAAGAAAACGGAGTAAGAATGAAATCCAGATGGTTAGAGTTTGATGGGAACACCTAACGGAAAAATGGAGCAGAAAAATACTTCCATTAAATTACCCCCAAAGCTGGGAAGAGACTTTTTTTCTGTTTCTGTTGATTAATCTCCCCAGCAATCTTAGAGAGTTCTGGATTTTTTCTCTTTTTTAAAGAAGAACACACAGTATTATTAGTTTTGACCACAAGGCAGTAACAAATAACAAACTAAAAGATCCACATACGCTTTTGGATGTTCTGGATGCTCAGCAGCCAGGAAGCTCATGAGAACACCATTCTAAATGAAACTTCAGAGTCAAGAGGAAATTCTACTGAGGCTCAAGTAAAGCCAATACAGCATCCGAGACACGTCACGTCAGATTTTGTTTTTGTCTCTAAACAAGACACCCACACCTTCAAATCCACAGAACAATGAAGTTATTCTTCAGCTCTGCTTAATGCATTTAAAGCAGTGAGATAGTCTGAAACTACCCTTCTACGACCATGTTTTATAACTGCGTAATACTGTCTTGCAATTCTGTAAAAGGAATTCTCCTTTTGCAATCATCCTATTTATTCCGCCAGCGTACCTCCACTATCAGCAAATTCACGAGCCCAAGGGCCACAGGCAAAATCCACGTAGAATCTGGTGCCGTGAGGTCTGTGAACCACAACGCTCCGCCTGCTGAGAACTGTTCTTGAACTGCAAGAATAGTTTAAAGAAAACACGGAATTAAGTATGATTCGCTGCCTCAAGTGGGTCAGAACCGCACCACGCACTGCAATCAAATCATCCAAGTTTCTGCGTACACTTTATCTACACGACAACTACACAGAAGCAGCAGTCTTTGGTTTAACGCATCAGTGTCAAGGCGGTCTGCTGTCACGAAAAGAGAAAATGGTGGGAGACACAGGCCCAGATCCAGACTAGCTCATCAGAGACACTGACTCAGGTGAACCTGCGATGAAAACTAACTTGATCTCAGCCACCATTTTACCAGCCAATGAGGAAAATGTGCAATGCAGTAACCTAGAGCGGCTCCATATTTCGTGTTTTTGAAATAATTCTATTTTCTTAATAACTATATAGCTTGTTGCATTTTTGTTTAGAAGAACAAACTATAAACTCTTCTCAAATACTGATATTTTGATTTTATTTTTTTTTAAAAACCCCACATGTTCATCTTGTCTATATAGTACTCCACATGAAACTTCACACTGAAAAAAAAATACAGATTAATAGTGAGTGTGCTGTGGCATGGGTAATATTGCTGGCTAAATACATTTACCTCGTGAACCAGGAAAAACAAAAAGCCGATGTTTTTTTTTCCTAGTAAAAAATTTTGTGGTCTCTGGAAGGCCACAAAACAATTAAGCACTCACACAACTCAACAAAATGCCTCACGTTGTTCCCAGAGCCCAGACCCTGACAGTGCTTCTACAGAGGCACGCCACAAAGCTCGCAGCTCTACCCCAAATAATGAGAGTGCTTAAGCAGAGCTGGGTGATGCTCCGGATGCTGCTGGAAGAGCTCAAACCAAAGAGAAGTGTAAGCGTCGTCCAGACACGAGTTCTTTGGTTCTATGAACTGTGGTTTGATCTAGTGTAACAAGTACAATGTACCTCATTAAAGTCTCTGAAATTCACTTTTATCAGATATTTACCTATGCTTAAAATACATAAAGTGTAAAAGCTTTGTAGCAGAGTAGTTTTTATACCAGCTTGTATGTTGAGCTCAGCTCTTTAACCAATGAAGAGTCCGTAAAAAAACAGTAAGTGAACAAAAAATGAGTGTTGAGACTGATCACCTTCCGAGTCCGTGGCACCAACGCTGCAGTTGCGCAGAGCGAGGGACACGCAAACCCACATTGGAACCTGCACCCACACCAGTAAAGTGGCTTTGAAGGGATGGCAGTTGTCTCGAACGTACAGCTCCGTAATAATCCTCCGCAGGTTCTTCTTAAAGTGGAACCTTTTAGAAAGAAAACAAAAAAGTCCTCTCAGAGCACCTGTCATAGAGTAACTGCTCAAATTCTGAAGTAACAATTCTACGCATGCCAGATTGGCTTGTTCAGGTGCAACCTTGGCAAACTTGAATGTCTCTCCTCTTCAGACATGCCTCTCTCCTTTGCCAACCCCCTTCCCTCACAACTTTTAGCCCTGCTGCTCTAAGTACCTTTTCACAACAAAACTTCCCACTGTCACTGTCAGCTACCAGTAACTTGTCTGAGGTTTTTTTTCTGAACTAGGATGTAATTTTCCCAAGGCAGAGGCAATCAGCCAGTTACGTCACCCTCAGTATCCCAGCTCAGAGTCACTGCTACTGCACTACGAAACAAACAGGACCACAATCAGTCACGCCTCCAGCTCCAGCAGCGTTTAGATACTGTAACAGCTAAGAAAACCTCAGTCACAAGTGAAGACAACAAAAACAATCCGGGATTTGGCCCTGTAAGCGTAAGCCTATCACAAGTTCAGAGTTTTAAAATTAATATATTCTGAAGGGCAATATAACAAACGCAACTAAGTTGTAGAAGTGGTAACAAAATCTAAGTTTTGGGCAACGGTAGAAGCTTTCTGTAAAACTGCTGCTGTAGGATTTTCCCTCCCTCTACCCCTCCACCTGGAACGGATTTCTAAGCTATGTACAATCGCCGTCTTACCTGGCAACCTTTTCAGACCAACCCTGCTGCTTTCCATGAACAGAAACTTCATAGCGAAGACGCTCAGCTAGTTTTTTAATCTCAGGCTGCAGATTTTCCAGCTAGCTAAAGAAAAGGGAAAATGTTTATGCACAGTCACAGGTAACAACCACTTCCCCTCCCCACCTGATGCCGTACAAATGTGAAGAACGACTGTGAAGGACACGGCAACACATCTGTAAACACCTTTTATCTTTAAACACAATAATCCTGTGAAGATACTAGTGAGAAGTATTTACTGTAACAATCAAAGATATTATCTTACTACTAAATGAAATAAATACAGAATTAGATTTTATATTTTGTTCTTAACAAACACCTTTTTATCTTCATTTAGGAATTGTGACCAGCTACTTTACTTAACAAAAACACCTTTAATGCTACCGCAAAAAGATTTAAAGCCCAGCAGGATGTAGCTTTGCAGTCACCGAAGTCACTGCCCGGAGGAATGAGACCCCGTTATGCAAAAGTGCAACATGATATTCACTTCTGCACTCAAGAGGAAAGGAGAAATGAACCAGCACGGCTGTAAGAAGACAGAGCAAAACCCAAACAAACGAAACCACACCCCAAACACGCGGCAACAAAGGAACTAAATCACTCCTCTGCAATAACGCTCCTCGAGTGATGGTCGCGGCAGAACCCCCTCCAAGAAACACCCCTGCCCTCGCCAGCCCCACCTTCGCGCCGGCGAGGAACAGAGAGCCGACCGGGCACAGACCAGCTGAGATCGGGCGGCTGCGACGCAGCACCCCAACGGGCGAGGAAACGGCACGGCAAGGGAGAAAGGCCAACGTGCCCCTCAGAGCGTGAGGAAACACAACAGCAAGGGAGAAAGGCCAACGTGCCCCTCAGAGCGTGAGGAAACACAACAGCAAGGGAGAAAGGCCAACGTGCCCCTCAGAGCGTGAGGAAACACAACAGCAAAGGAGAAAGGCCAACGTCCCCCTCAGCCGGTGAAGAAGTGGCACAGGGAAGGTGATAGAGGGGATTGTAAGAAATGTGAAACTATAACAAAAAGCCTTAATATTTTCTAGTTTTTAGTAGTCTTTAGTACTGTAACTTGTATTTCTGCATGCATAGTGATCTAACAATATAACTGTTACACTAATCCCTGTTTTCTCATTAAGGAATGTAGTGGAAGGACATGGGCACAAGCTATCACTTAGTCGTTAGACAAAATAATTAAGTGAAACAAAAGTGGTCTTGATTCTCAGCAAATAATTGGGATAATTGTGGGATAAAAGAGACTCCTAAATAACTCTACTCCAGACAGCTCAGCCTTGGGAGGGCAAATGCGCTAAGCTACAGAGATAAGGAGGCACCAAGAGAGCAACAAGACTGGAGCAAAACAACCTGAAGGACATGATATACGTAATGCTAGAACTGAGTTTGCGCAGAAACAAATGTCAATCAGTGAACAGCGTGATGAAGAGGATGGGCCTTCATCTTGGGACCCCCGAAGACCACCCAAAGATACTAACAGACATGCGTGAAAGATATTTACATATGCTAATTAGTTCCTAGAAATATAATGAATAATTACCTGTGGGATTGTATTTAACCTGAAGCAACAGGGTGTCTGGCGCGCACGATTGGAGGAGAAATCCCCCGTGTGCCCGGCGCCGCAATAAAGAATACCTGAAGCCCCCCCCCCCCGCCGCAGGCACAGCACGGAACCTCTTCGGTAACTTCAGCCGTTCTCCCAACTTCTGAGGAAAAACCGGTGTTTAGACACCGCCCGAGCCCGGTTTACCTCACGTCTCTAC